CTATTTTTCTATAAAATGACATTTTTTTTATTTTCTTTAATAATGGTTCTAGCAGGCTATAATTAGATTCGTTCGATTCCTTAGGCCACAAGGAACAATTTGTATATCTCAGAATTTCGTAAAAGTCCCTAGTTTTCGAGAAAATCAAAATTTTAGTGTTTCGTAGTTCCGCCGCTCGCCGCTAGATGGCGCCACCTGTACCGTTTTCGACCGAATTCGACAAAAATTGCTTTTCTGGCTTTATGAGGTATCAAAACGCATCAAACCCTAATAGAAATTTGTTTGTAAATGCCTCAGGAACCATACTACGTCGTCAAAGTGTCGAAATATTACACTTTGCATGCGCAGTAGAATTGACATAGGCGGCTCATGTACGTCTGATTAGAATTAGACTAAGAATGGTTAAAAATTGATAAAGTCAAGACATCCCAAAATTAATTAATACTGCAGTTCGATGTTATTTCACGCATATTATAGTAACGCCGTAAATAAATTACCATGTTACTATCCATGTTACCCTTTACCTATAGGATGTTCAGTTAATACTACACCCTTCGCCAGATAGAGCTAGCGCGAAGCGTCTGAAAACTTGTAGTGATGTAAACGTTAAAAAGATATACAAATATATTTTAACTAATTTTTTCGATTTATTAAAATGATTCTCTACGATGTAACGATCTGTTTTAAAGACTCTATTCATATAAGATTACGAAATTGTTTAATTTAGCTAGAATTCTATTATAAACGTACCCGGTCAGAGTATAACCTCTCTTGTTTTCAGTGTGAATATTTTAAAATAAAATTTTTACAAAATGTTGGCATATAATAATTTAGAAAATGCTGTTCTAAGTTTAAATAAAAGTGTTTCAAACTTTCCTATCGGTGCGGTGTCGTTAGATGATTTTAAACCTATCGAGGAAAAAATTAGCGACACACGAAAGTTGCTGAAACGATTAACTGCCAGATTATTATGGCTTAAAGCAAAAACTAGATACGGTATGTTGTATTAATGTTTAAGCGGAAAAGCTAATTTGATCGTATGAAATTATTTGTTATCGTTTCAGTAATGGAAAATGAAGAACCTGAAGATGAGATAGAACGTACGATAGAAGACTTACAGACGGAAACAGTCCGATTACTTCAAAATGACAGGGCATTTAAATTGATGTCCCACTCCTATACTATTCAAGAAATTTTAGCAGGAAGACAGGGAGATGCTAATATGCAAGAGTAAGAAATTATAATAGAAACTATGTATTTTAGTATTAGAATTCATTTTTTGCATTTGAAAATTTTGTTTCTGCATTTTAAATGTTGCCTTAGTGGCAATTGTAAAATTCAAAGAGTTAATGCATTATAATTTCGATACTTTGTTTTAGAAAGATTTATGCTTATATGCGTAAGTTATTTACTCTTAATGATACTATTTTGTCATTACAAAAGGACATAGAAAATGCTGTGAAGAAGCAGGTGAAGTTAAAAATCCAATGCCAAAATGCATTATTTGATTACAAAAAGTTTTTAAAGGAGCAGGAAGAAATATGCAGCAAAAAATTACAAGAAACAAATCCTGAGATAGCATTGTAAGTACTTGTGCACGGAACTGTATATCAATATTTTCAACTTATTTCTCTTTTCATTTTTCAGAAATAAAGAGAAAACAAATAAATCTCTAAGAAATATAAATATTATGAAGAAGCTAATTGTAAATCTTATTTCTGCTTCCCATTTTATGTTAATGGAAAATCCACATTTAATAGAAATGTTAGAAAAACATAGAGAAACAATTAATATTGAGACCATTTTGAAAATGTCTCAAGGGGATACAGATCAAGAAAGAGCAGAAGCACAGGCTTAAAATCATTATTAAACTATTAATGAATTATTAATTATTTATATATAATTATTCCCTATAGAAAATATATGCGAAATAATCTCTTGAAATGAAATATGTAATTTATAAATTTAATATTTTGTATTCGACCAATGTACTATGTTAATATTATGTAACTCAAAGTTTTTAATACAATTGTTTTTTGCAATAAGTATAAAAGAGGGAAGAACAAGTCTGAATTGTATAACGAAATATATAGTTGAAATACATAAATGAAAAAAGAAAACATCCAAGATATTCAATAAGAACTCTTCTTTTTTTTCTCCTTTTTCTAAGTGTGCAGACACAACACATATTTACAAGGAAAAATTTCGCGCAATCTCAATGTCTTTTTCAATTCTATTAAAGCGACTTTATCAGACGGTTTTATATGTATATTACTTGATAAATAACAGTTTATAAGCCAATGATTATGAGTTGAAAGATAGGATTTCGATCACAGCTTACAAGTACGATAAAAATGTATTAATGTAGGGGAGAGAGGTGCACATTCGTTCAACAAGACTAACGAATACTTATTTCCGTATCATAAATTATATCGTTTATACATATTACGCGAATGTAACACTTGAAATTTTTAATGGTCCAGTACGTCTTTCAGTCTCGTATTTTTCACTATTAAGATGTAAACCACTCTCCGCCTTCTTATTTTTACGCCTACTGACGTATAAATACAGAATCCATCGAAATAGTATTCAAACAATTTAATTTTTATGTACATTAATTTCTTTTTTTTTTTGTTTGTCTTTAATAGGTTGTTGGTTTTATAAGTGGAAAGAAAACGAATCCACTAATATTATAACAAAAGCACGTTAAAAGTGAACAATTTCATTTCATTAATGTTGAATATCCTCGCAAAAACTTCGGACATCGCTTTTCTTTTCTCGTGTATGGAAGTAGTATGTATGCATGTATGTATGTATGTATATGTGTATGTGTGTGTTTACAGACATGTACGAAATGGACAAAACACTTCGAAGCATATTTGATATCTTTAAATTGTCTCTATAAATTAGCAAATGGAATAATTATGATTTCATGCTTCTTCGTCCGATTTCGTCGCAAAGAACACATCCACGTTTCACTGACATTATTAAGATTACGTGGTAATAAAATTAGTCGGTCGCTGTCCATCGCGTGACAGTTATAATTACCATAATAATACAGCTTATTAATGTCATTAATCGCCATTACTGATATAGTTCATGTATATATATGTATATGTATATAATTATATATTTATATATAATCATATAATTATATAAATATATATAATTATATATAATGTTTATATAATTTGAAGCTGATACATCTCCTCTGATACCCAACATTTCACATTTTCATTAACTTCTCGTGTCCTTCGTTCGCGTACGCCCTATCCATTCCAATAAATTTCTATTTACAAAATTAAATCGGCGCTCGATTTGTTTCTGTTTCTCATAGCACAGCGGTCTCCCCACTATATCGATAAACATTTCAAAATTTCTATAACAGCATCAATCACACATTCATTATACATGGGCACACTAATCGTGTAACGCGCATGAGCTGCCAATTCCGTACAAGTGGCAAATAATCATTGAACACAAGCTACATAATCCATTAGCAACGGATACACGCTAGAAAAACGATAATAGTTAAGACGCTAAAAGGCAATATTATCTAAATCACGTTTGCGGTGTCGCGAATAAAAACATCACTAATGAAAGCACGACACATTGGTTACACGGTTCAATGCAATTTTTTAATTAAACGTCGCTAACATTTCGAAACGAACATTTAGGAAAACAAAAGTAAAAATTATCATTCGAAGATAGTTGTCTGTCGCTTTGCAACGAAAGCGAGTTAAAGATACAATGGGATAACTTGAAAAAGATCCCAAAACATTATGCATAGGACACGACACGGACGACAAAAGATACGATTAAAAAACCAAATATCACGACAGATACGTAGAAAAATATCTAGTTAAACGTAAGTGAATTAAAAATGAAAGCGTAAGAAAAATTCGCGTATTTCCTATGCATTGTTTTGCGACCAATTCAAGTCTCGACACGACGTATTCATGTCCTTCGTTCGCGAATAATAATTGCAACTTATTACAAGCGAGGAAATGAAAGACACATACACACGATGATCTTGGTCCGACCTATTCGCACCAATTTACAAATATACAAATAATCGCTTTCGAACTCGTCGTCTCATCATTAATAATGGGATTGTTTCGTCGTTCGGACGAGGATAACAGCCTTCCCGTACAACGAGTACTAGAACAAAGAGAAATAAAGTAAAAGGACACAAAAAAGAAGATACCATCCTGAGTCGGATAGGAAAACATTTCTTCCTTGTTCGTTCACAACCATACTTAACCAGCAGTCAGTCGTGTTGTATTTAAAAACTGGTGACGCATGAAAAGTCGACTAAAAAAACTACAAGCTAAATTGCAACATAGTTGCAGCATAACCGAGCCAACGATTTGTGGCAGGGTGACTTTATAAATACGGAGTCTTTCGTTTTCACGAGACCCACTCTCTCTCTCTTTCGCTCTTTCTTTCGCTCATACTTTCACACCTGATTCTTTTCGCGCGGATTTCTAAAGTTCGAAATTCATAAATTATTATACAGGATATGACGAAAATGTGGTACAAGTAGTGCAGGACAATTAGTCGTTAAAAGATTAAATTGTAGAATGAATCGCGGGAAACCTAGACTTGTAACGCGTGACGATATATCGTGTGGCAGTACAACGGGTGGTTGCATAATGCATAGCAATATAATGCGTGGCATCTAACGCTCGCATGTGATGTTCTAACGCGTGATAATAGAACGCGTAGCGATAGCAATCCGGAGCATAGAGAAAATTGTGTGGAAATCTAACATATGGTCATATAATGAGTGACGATGTAACGTGTGGCAATCTTGTAAGGATAGAATAATGGCGCTACAATTTTAATTTGTATCCAAACAAAAAATAAATCTACGTCTACTTATACCACGTGTTTCGCCGCACCCAGAGCATACTAATCACGAAATTTGGATTTGATTAAGAGATCATGCTTACAGACGGCACCGTTTATAAACGCAAAGAAACGCTTGAAACATTGGCTTAAGTATTCGAATAACACCGAGGTTCATTCTGTTTCTACGCGTGAAAACATCCGCAGCAAGGGACAAACGTCCTTCCTTGTGGCTTTTGTTCTCTTCTTTCTCACGGTTCTTTCACTCCACCATTCGGTTCTTCTTTCTTCCGCTTTCTCTCGATTCGCATTCTCCTACGATCATTCTCTCTTCTTTATGTCGGTTGCATTCGCTCTTTCTCCCGCCACTGTACAAGAAACGTAACGTCCGACGATTGTTCGACGATCACTTGCTCTGGCAAGCTTACAAAAAGGAACAATGCTCCCGGTTTTAGCATTCAGTGGGAAGATACTGATACAACGAGAGAGAGGAAATCCACAGAGTTTAATGGTTTAGCTCGTATTTCCATTTTAAGCGTATTACTTCAAGACATCCGATGGGTAATGACAGCGTGATATCAGGTGTGAAGAAGGATGGCGCAGCGCTTCGTGATACGCTCTCTCTAAGTACATCGATCGTTTTCATTTTTCATTGTTCTGGTCATCGAATACAATGTGTACGGGTACGCTAACACGGTGTGCATTGATACGACTTGATAGTCGTACGAAATCGTTGGCCAGACTAATTAGTACGAGTTCGGATCTTCGAACACCGTAAACTTAACGCTCGCCGACTTCACGCGGAGACGAATGACATGTTCTTGCTTACGCCGCTTTTTCTGTAACTCACTGATTACCATGGAGATTCCCTACCAATTTATTTCGATAAAATAATGAAAAAACTTGGAATACAGTAGACTCTCGTTATATTACTATTATTAAACATGACTATTTCTACTGTGGTAATCAATGCGTTAACCTGTTTGAGATTAGAAATGATTTGGTCGAAGGTCTAATGCGTGCTCACTGAAATTTTACTATAAAAAGTACATAAAATTTATTCGTCTAAAAATTCGGTACCATAATAAACAAAACTATGAATGTAATCGTCGACCTAACTTCAAAGTAATATGGTTGATCAAAGTGGTATCGCATTGATAGACGATTCAACTTTTCCGATTGCAAAGAAGAAAAAAATCTGTGCTGACTAGCCGATTAAACAGATTTTTTTAAATTTAGTTGATTAGCGAGTTCGTTTTGTTACAAATTTGTGGTCACTCTCTCTTCGAGTGGACGATATTTTATTCAATGACGAAAGAACTGTACACATCGATTGTTACTCTAACCAGTTTCATTTTCGCTCTTCTTTTGCCTCTTTTATCAATCAACGACGATCTAACGAGACGCAAAGACATTAGCGCAACAGTTTCATCTTTCATTATCATTATTGCCTTTATCAGTTAACGACAGTATATTTACGATTGCATCTACTGATATAACTTATGGCGATACATGTGTTTACTTTCGAATAATAATCTTTTTACTTTTTTGTACATCTATGTGTAGTATAACGTTATCGGTAATATTTATAGATATGAACATGTTTTGTTTTTTTCTTTGTATTTTTTTAGAAAATCTATCTCTCTGTATATTTCTGTTCTCGATATAAACGATTAGCAAAGAATAAAAGGACGTTTTGTGACGTGTCATAGTTGGCGAGAACATTTTCGTTATCTTAAAATCTATATCGTGTATCTTCTAAACATGTATCATCAGGGAGTTCTACCTAACTTCGAAATGTAAAGAATTTCAGATTAACGTGTACTTAAATCACTTTATTATTTATCAGTCTGCAAATAAACGAACAATACAAGTCCTTGAATGTGCGACAGATTTCGTACGTATTCGCGTGTCGTACAGCGTGATTATCATCGAAAAATTCTCGAGTTAACCGAATAAAAAGATTGATCTAAAAGTTTTGCTTCGACGGAGGCGAACGATCGTTCCAAATTTGTAACAAAACTTCGTAATATCGATATACTTTTTTACTTGTTCGTTTAATCGGCAGGGCTGACAAAGATCCTTTTCTTCTTCTCTTTCTTCTACATCTTCTTCGTCTTCTTCTTCTTCTTCTTCTATTTCACATGTATGTTTCGCGTTAAGTATCTGTTGATTGCTCGAATGTCTTTTCGAGAACATCCATAGAAATTTGTATATAACATTTCGCTACTTCGTGGGATGTACTACAGTAGACCCTCGATATATTGCTACATTCACGCATATTGATACACTATAAATTGGACAATTTTCCGTCAAACGCTGAACGTTAGATCAATCTAAAATATTATGAATTTGAATAATTTTCTGTCGTAGCTGATCCGTAGCTATATAACGAGAGCGGATTGTAGTAAGTCATCGAAATTTTCCACGAAAGTTCGCGGTATTGTACGCTAGATATCACTTTCTTTATACATTTTTCTTCCCTTTTTCTTGACTTCTGTAGTTCGAAGGAAAATTCTGTTCTCGTTCGTAGTGTTTAAACACAGACGATAAAAGTATTCGATTGCTTTAAAATGAAACCTATATTGACGTAAATATATATTCAATTACAGGCATACTTTGGTTCTCTTTTCGTTACATTTCTAAATAGTTTAATCTATGTGTTACACGCGTGTTCCAAGGATAAAAAAATTTCGCTGAAATAAACGGGTCCTCTCGTACACGATAAGTGTTGATTCAAGACACTGTTTTGAATCATCGCGTTTTGTAGAACAACGATCAACTGTATCGACACGTACCATATACGTTCGTTGATCTATGTTCGAGTAGATAATACAATCTACAGACAATAATCCTTATGCTTTTTTTCATTTTCTTTGATTCGATATGTTATATAAAATGTGATTTGAATTGCTTCTGCGACGTATAACATTTTCTTACAAGGTAATTACACGGAAGGCATGAAACCGAAAAATCGATCCGCGTGCAAAATTACAATCGTCTTTGTTCCTCCCCTTCGTGTATCGATCAAAACGCTTGAACAACCACCTCGAAGTATCACGAAGCTCGTTAAATGATATACGATTGACGGAAATACTAAGAAATATAAAGTACGGTATGGCTTCGTAGCAAAATAGTTCTCGAATATATTTTATGTACAGTCAAATGTAGATTAACTTCACGTATAATCGTGTACTTACGTAGAACAACGATAGGCAGTGTAGGCGTAAAAAAATCGTAATGAAAAATAATATAGTTAAAAAAGAAAGAACATTAACTAAAATATAATGAATGCGATTTCAGCACGATCTTCGTAGCTACCTACTGATAAAGCTTTAATACTGTTATAAATTCATAAAAAGAATAATACACACGTGTCATTGATCGATTTTTCATTCGATAAAGACAAAGAAAAATTCGGAACCTTCGAGTACGTAAGAAAGCCCATCTAAGACTCGATTATTCAACGAACAATATACGAAAGAAATATTCGAAATGTAACATGATTAGGAATTTAAATACCTTGCCTCACTCGATGCGTTCTCGTACTCGCGATGTTACCAGTAAGCATACGTAAACGTGTTATCATTTCAGTTTCATGCCTTTCCAGTCGCCCCTATCTCGACAAATCGTGTTTTTGTACGTTGAAATTTCGATAGAAGCAGGAGTACGCTACGCTCGTTAATCCAGGACAGATTTTCTTTTCTTTTCGAATAAAATGAAATCTCAGCCTCAATTCGTTTACGATTTAGTACGTGTATCGTAATACACGTAGCAATGAACGGCGTTGTTTCGAGAGCGCCACCGTGTGGTACAAGACGAGAGAGAGTCGTAGGCACAAACACGTTCTTTCACCATCGGCACGTCAATTCCTTCTTTTACCGCATGCACACGTAGGTGGACTGATTTGCCGGCACTGAACAATCCAACTGTTCTTTTTTCTCAATCAGCAGTGACAGGTTTACAGCATTATAATCGGTAACATCGACATTGACAACGATGTTGGACCATTGAACGATAATCGTACAGATAATGACAATGATAATTGTAGTAATAATAATAATAATAAAATAATGAAAATAATAATAATAGATTAATCGTAATAATAATAATAATAAGAGGAAAAAGAAGAAGAGCAAAAGTTAATCGTGATGATAATAATAATCATAATAATAATAATAATAATGAGAATAATAGCAATAGTAGTAGCAGTAGTAACGATGGCTGTATGGTGGTTTAATTTGATAACGTCGACGGCATGACATCGTGACGATGGCGTTCACCACCGAATCCTGAGAAGCAGATCGACTTCCGGCACGTAGCAAAGTAACGGCCTCACTTTCCGTATCGCCTGCAGCTTCTCTGTCCACGGTACCATCTCGTCTTCTATAGAGTCGCACTGCCGCGACACGTTTCCCAACATCACCTGTACTATTACACGCACACTGTATTGCCCCCCTAAGATCGACGATAACAGACAGTCACTTTTGTCTTCCACTTTTCTTCTTCTTCCGTTTGAAGAAGCAACAGCATCTGCAAATAAAGCAAACACTAATAGGACTTAGAGTCGTCTTCTTTTTGACCGCCTTACGCTATGACACCAACATGCAACCACGACAAAACATTCCAAAGCGGCGGCAAAGTCGAGAGCTTGCTTTCTCGAACCAATCTGCTACATAATATTTATTATTCAGGATCAACAAACATGAAAAACAGATGATCTTTCCAAGAGGAATGTATTATTTTTGGAACAATGATTCGATATATCCCTTATAAATGTACAGTTTCAGTGTAGTATATTCCAAAAATCATACAACCCCTGTCAGCTAAATAATTTTTAAGTAGTTTCAGAATACTAGTTCATGCGATATCGTGTGCATAGGGTATGGAAGAAGAAAGAAGAGGATATTAAATGATACGTGTACAATCGAATAGTTATCGAAAATTATTTTTTTTTATATTGCATAGAAGGAAGTTCTACAATGACCACTCGTGTTTGAGTAATAAACCAGGTTTAGGGATCTGTCTAGGATCGACGTTGGACGTAGAAGGATATAAACTTCGACGTAGGATCTTTCCACAGCCACGACAACGCTTTTTTGTCGGCAAACACTTGTTTCTGAAAGAGGATAGACAGGATATTTAACGTACATTCATGCATAACGCAGAAATAATAAAGTCCTATCGAGGTAGTGAAACAATAACTTGATCAATGAGGTACTATTCGTCTCCTATCGCATTAGCGAAAGTCATTCACGATGATTTACGGATGCAGATCTCTAAGTGCATGCACTATTTACAAAAGTGTTAAGTTCGCTTTTACTCTACATTCTTAATCTTTTTAATGTCAACGTAGGAAGACTGTGCTCTATCGGTGAAAGAAATTAATGAAGCAATTGTAATACTAACTTGGTTTCGTCCACCATGTCCACTTCTTGAGGTGCTGTAATCGGTGTATTCGAGTGTCCTGCAGTAGGATCGTCGTTGGCTAATTCACCGTTCGTCGAGGACACCACCTAAATACACGAAACATCGTTACTAATGCGTTCAATCGTACAAACAAATGATAAAAGTTGAAAGTAGCGGAAGAAAAATGTAACGAACAATGGAATTTTGTATACCGTGAACTTAAAATATGTACATATACATACAACGTTCTACAAAACTACACGTGATAAACATATATACGTATATACACGCGTAGAAGTTTCTACTCTGAAAGGGCTAAAACCATAAATTTACGTGAGACAAGCGGCACTTTGTATTCATGAGGTACTGTTAATACAAAACGAAGTAAAACTCTAAAACATGGCTAATCAACTCGGTTAACATGTTACACTTGGATAAAACGCAACGTATGAGTTATGATTTACGAGGCTCGAAAAGCGCGGTCAACCGAAAAACAGATCGCGATTATGGCGGTACGATGGATTAGTGAAGAGTAACAGAATCAGAGGTAAATCGATCAACGAAACAAACGTCCGCATGCCACGACAAACCAATTCGCATCGACTTCGAACTGACCATAATCCGTTGATGCTTTGTCTAGAAATAGAGCGAACTGTTTACTTGCAGACGCGTCTGGACATCATCTGGGCTATGAAAGTGGAAAATAATGGGAGAGAATAGGTGAAGTGGACAAGGATGCGTTGTTTTTTATTTTTCGAACAGAAACATAATCGGAGATTTTATAAAACGAGCAAAATACCCGACCATAAAGGTAATATCGCTCGACGATTTATTTTAACAGATATCGACGTTTACTTTTATGCAAAGTGCTCGTGTCAGTCACAAAGAAATACAGAGATCTTGAACAACTCCCTCGATAATCAACTTCTCACAAACAGCACCAAAGTATCGTTTTAAATAAATTGATATCGTAAGAAAATAATTGATAACGCGTGGAGTTTTTGATCGAACCAAACGGACTTCGCAGACAGAACTCGAAAAGAAGAAAAATGATTTATTGGACAGATAAGAGATAGACAGATAATGGACGACACAAGGATCGCTAGGTCGACTCACCTGCACAGAACCGTGCCTATCAGCAGGCGTCAACGTACCACCGGCTCCTGATTGCTTCACAGTATCTGGCCACGTGGTTCCCACCCCTTTACCATTCCCGCCTCCCACCCCTGGACCTGTCACATCCTAAAGGAACAAGCACTAAATTGTCCAAGTTTCAATGCGCCAAACATCAACAAAAATTATCAAATAGATTTCGTCAGATATCACCTAATGCACGCTTGTCGCATATCATACTAAAACGAGTTTCCTTGCGAATACATCTTTACGATGAATCGTTTAACGTTGATGTGCACAATATACACGTGAATGAATAGCAATAAATATTCCCGACTAATTTCGCTTACAATTTACCATGATACATACTCGTAAACTACATACGCAACTAGCTACATTAAAATTGATCGTCAATGACAAAAACGATACTAGAGGATTGCCAAAAAGGGGATGTTTAAATACGGTGTGTTCTAAGTCACTTCTTCATACATGCATTCAACCTCGACGTTTTAATAGAAAAATCGGTTTATTCGCGTGAACACCGTCGGTTGACTTTCGATAAAATAAAAAGACATGCATGAAGAAGTAAAGACGAAAAACGCGTTAAAAAATTTGGTTGGCTTACATAGTTGCCTTGCATTTCGATGTTAACCTCATCCACCGTGAGGACTATATCCTCCTCAAAATCATCGCATTCCTACACATCGACGATTTCCATGTTTCGCAAAGAAACAAAATCGTGTATATAACAGAATCTTTCAGAAGGACAAAAACTATGGAATGTAACTTTTTAGAATCATAAATTGTTCCCCGATTATTGTTTCGATTCATTTTGACAAGCTTTCTCGCGTGACCGATTAAAAGAAATATTAAAAAAATATAAATCTATTCCGTATACCCAATGAGGTGTATATACTCATGCTGTTATTTGAAATAGCTAAGCTTCACACATTCATGCTCGTTTTCTTCGAAAAGAAAAAAAAGAAAGGGTTATAAATATTTATAGGCGTACCTTGTAAGGATGCCGATCACGATTCGGCGATACGATAATTTCTTGTCCAGTCTGCATGGATCCGACAGGCGTTGACTGAAAAACGAAACGTAAATATTCCATTATAGAAGTGAATTTCGTTACTACATACGTATATATACACAAATAGACGAATTTCTGTATAACATACTTGGAACCAGGAATAAAATGGTAATTGAAGGTAGTTCAACGTTATTATTTCGAACACTGCTCTTCAACACTGCAGGGAGGTAGAACATATATTCTTATCGAAATAAAGGGATTAAAATCATATACAAATATGTACGTATACAGTAAACTCTCGTTATAACAGCAACGAAATGTACTCGGAATTAACTATAAACTGATCTTCTTCGATATTACGTCTATGGATCATCGTTGGCGAAGGTGGCAATATAACGAAAGTCTACTGTATTAAGGCTGTAAGAAGAAAGCAATCTAGTTAACTGTAGGTGTAAATTTAATCAAGTATATAAGTACGAACTACGTAATCAGAAATCCATATCATAATAGTTAAAGCGTTCAATTTTCTTTTTTTAGAAAAGGGTTAGAAAAATACTTAGCAAGAACGGAGTAAAGGATTATTGATCCGCATGCACTGGCTATACTAACGTATAAATATCCTGATAAAATCTTACTGCGAGTGTAAATGAAAACAATCGAACGTAACACGCGTGGCAGGTTAAAAATATACGTGCTAAGTACTGATCACAAATATTTCGTGCAGTACTGGTGGATGTAGTTGATGCGAATCTCGGTCGAAGCAAGATGTGACATCGTATTTTCAGAGGATGAAACAACATTTTCCACGTTTTTTTTTCACGAAACAGGGTTCTATTTAAGCTCCCAGTATCGTTCCGTGAATTTTACGAGGAACTCTTTCGAGCACGAATACGCTTCTCAGACAAAACTAGATCGGTGCAGCCGCATCCTTTTGTCATTAACGAAAAGTTTGTTTCTCATTAAAGTAGCTGTCTGAACACGCGTACAAGGTAAAATATAAAATGGGAGGCTCGCGTAACGTATCACCCACCTTATCGGATTTAGTCTTGCCAAGGTGAGAGGGAGGAGCCATCCTGAGAGCTCTAAGTTGATCGAAGTTGGATGGCTAGAGGTACATTGGGGGCAGCATGCAAACGTTAAACATCGTCAAGTGAAATATGATTTTTACCAAAACGACGGAGAAGACGACGCCGAAGGAATACACAGGACGACTTACTTACCCCGAAGAGACGATATCTCGGAGTTTTTTATGGCAGATGCAAACCATATCGCGCACGCTACGTGTGTAACTAGTGTCGGATATTCGAAATTCCCTGTTGCGAGCTCTCGAGCGATTCGAGCATCCTCGAGGTCCGAATTTTTTCCGAACCTCCAAAGTCTTGAAAGTTTTTGATAGTCCAGAAACTCTTGACTCGAAAGTTTACGCGTTCGCGATAAGTATACTAGACGATGCAAAGACGTACGTACGAGTAAACGAAATAAATCATTCAGAACCATGTAAGAACGCGCGTTTGCATAAAATTTCGCGTTTTATCCGTCAGCAATTACGCGTAGGATGTTTCGTGCTTTTCGTTCTCGACAAGTATTAATATTTCAAGAGTTTCAGACCTTTCAAGATCTGTAGGATTCGAAACTTTCTCCGTCTGTTTATATTCGAAGCGCTTCATTGAAACCATATTCGTGTATATTGGTAAAAATCTTTTAATTTACGTAAGCTAAGAATAGTCTCGACATTATGGTACATCGTTTTAATAATGGAAGTGAAATCGTTGTGATATTTAAGAGAAGAAAAAAAAAAGAACTCCGATGTCGGCTCGATATCGACTCTTACGATACGTTTCGTCCCAGGACATATCTGACCATCGTGAACTCTCCTATTAGTCTGTCTTCCTTTCTTGCATGCATTGCAAAAAGATACGAAGAAAAAGAAAAAGGAATGTATACTCCGTCATTTGAGCAATGGATCACGCACCATCGTCTTGCCAGTCCAATCGAATTCGCCGTCGTTGACGAAGCCTCGTTTCTCGTACAAGTCATGGAAGAGGTTCCTCAGGTACTCGTAGTCGGGCGTCTCGAAGAAGTCCAGTCTACGGACGTATCGCAAGTACGTAGCCATTTCTTCGGGATGACCTTCGCAGAGTACCTCGATCGGAGTGTTCCGCTTCGTATCGCCGATTTTCTGATATCGTTCTTTCAACGTGTCCGCTTTCAGTCCTTGCCAGGGAAGGCTACCGCGCAGGAAGTACATGAACATGTGTCCTAACGCCTCCAAGTCGTCCCTTCTGCTCTGCTCTGATTGCAAAGAGAAAAAGAAAACACATTTGCATCGTCTGCCATCCTTTTTCGTTAAAATCATCGTTCAACGAGCGAAATAGACTTTGCTAATTCGATAATTCAATTACGATTTAAACCTCCGTCATGCGATGCAACCGTACTTAAACTTTCGTAAATATATACTTTGCAATTCACAACGTTCGACCAATCGTGATCAAAACTTACGAGACTATGCAACGTCGAAATTTTTAATCGAACGGAATATATCAAGAGTCAAAATCTAAAATTAAATTTTAATTGGCACTGTTTCAGCGCCCCGAGAGTTAACTAACAATCAGAGATATTTGCTAGACAACGGTTAGAGCAAAATCGAAACGAGCCTAAATCGCGGATTAAACACAGCGTGTCAACGTATGCGCGCTTATAACTTTCTCCGGACGTAGACCTATTGTACGCGGTTAAGTTTCAAGATGGTCCGACACCGGTTGATCGTCCCATTGTTCGCGATATCTATGTTCCTATCCAAAATTATGATCAAAGTTAATGCCTTAAGCGTATAAAGTAAAAGTTACCTTTTCCAAAATGCGTGTTGATGCTCATGTAACGCGCCGTGCCCGTAAGGCTTTTGTGTTCCCGATACGGTATGTGTTTATTCGTTTGCAAGTCTATGTACTGTTTGGCCAGTCCAAAATCTATGATGTGAATAATCTTCTCACGTTTGGTTGTGCTTCGTCCTATTAGGAAGTTTTCCGGCTTGATATCACGGTAGATCAAATGTCGACTATGAACGTATTCTATCCTATGAAGCTGTGCAAAGAAGGAAGGTATTAATGTACGAGAAGGGAGCAAATTTTTGGTATACCGCGAAAGTCTATCCCTGTACGAGCGGATATTCGTCGAAAGTGATCGATCGATTCCACTTACAAGTTGTATGGCGATGTTGAGAACGGTCTTCAGGGTAAACCTCCTACCGCAGAGGTCGAACAGGTCCTCCAGGCTAGGTCCGAGAAGTTCCATCACGATAGCGTTGTATTTCCCACATGGACCAAAGTAGTATACCTCCGGTATACCTTCTGCACGATTCCACAGAAAAGTTAACCAGACATTAGATATCATTTCGTACGAATCGAATTGCTCGTTAAGTTATAAATTCGTTACTCACCGTGTGTACCTAATAATTTGTAAAATCCATATTCTAAGTGTAGCTGCGGCGCCTTCGTCCTCATTGGTTCCTGCGAAAGTGACCAAACAAAAGAAAATGTTAGAGCAGTACTCTGGCAGAAAGATTATGTCGCGTTAATGACACGTAACGAGGTTTCTCTCGGGACCTGAGTAACTTTAACTCGAAGTCAAATTGTTAATGGCAATTAAACGATTTCCGCGTGTCCCGTTTTTTTACTTTTATCGTTGAAAGTAACTGCTTTCAAATTTTAATGAACTCACCATTTTAATTGCTACATGCTCGTTATTGTAGAGGTTCTTCCCTGTAACAGAACAAAAGGTAAAACGTCTATGTGTGTTCCACGATGCAGATTGCATTATTTAATCGATACTTTGTTTGGCTTGTACGCGAGCACCCGATGTTTAACCCATTAACACCGTGACATCATAAAACGCTAATTAGCGAAGACGAGGATTCATATTTAAGCTCCGAGACCGATGTCTCGTGTTATTAATACGATAGACTTATGATACCGCGTCAGACGGAGCTGCGACGACGGAAAATTTCGTATTGGCAATATGTTGGGTTGGTCAACAAGTTCTTTTTAACATTGCTCAGAGTGTTTACACGTTTCCAAATAACTCACCCGTTAAAGAAGATGTTAATTTCGCGTTAATCTCTTTATGTTCGCTTTCATTTTGACGGAATCGTGTGACCGTGCGATAATTCCGTATCGGGCAACCCCGTTGATTGTACTTCACCGTGAGAAATTGGATTGGCCAGATTTGTGGGCTAACTACGTGTGCGGTTGTTGCGGTATTATGGTCGCTGATTATTAGCGTGCACAAAGCCGTGCCCGTCAATTTTTAGTTTATCAATATTGGCGAAACGACATTTTAACTAGAGTTAACGCACGATTTCCGTAACAGGCCTATTTACAGGGTTCAAAGCTTCGAGATAACCGAGGCTACGTGGAAACTCGTCATCGGCCGAATTCGTATGCGTGTTACTTCAGCGAGAACAAAGATACCCTGCTTATAAACGTCAGCTTCGTGACAAGAATTGCGGTGTCGTCACGAAACCTCGCTACCTCTCACCGTTTCTTGGCTACGAAGAAAGAACAGAGAGGAGAGCCAACGCTCGAAAACGAAAGTACTTAGCCACTTTTAAATATCCGAAACTTGTCGTCGATTAAATAATCACGTACAAAAAACGGACACACTGCTTTGTCGACGCGACTGAAAGCTTGCTCGCGAGCTTTCCAATTATTCGACGATATTAACTGCCACGGTCGAACGATTAAGCAGCCAAGAAACTGCAACTTCGGGTTTACACTTTCAACTACTAATTGCGATAGCGTACAAATTTCTCGGGTGCCTATGTAAACAGCGTTCATGTCTGAAGTAAGTTAACACGTTGCTAAGCATTCAGGGTGATTTCCCAGTTTCGTAAAGCGCCACTGAATAATTGCACGTGATGCTCTTCATCGATTGAATCTCGTTTTAGGGAGGGTATCGAATTTCGGTTCACCGGCGAAACTTTGTTAAATTTGGTAAACGTTACAGGATTAATTTTAAACAGAAATATTACCGCACTCGCCTGAAACGAAATTGGAGAAGATCGTTCGTAATAATACTTTACATAGTTTGACAGAGTATGTCGTCATCCGTGTGGTACGATACGGGCAAATTTACCGCATTATGACACTGTCCGATGCAAGCGGGTTAAGAATTTTTGATACGCGATTAGTAAGAACTGTTATCGCTTAGGCAGAAAGGAATAATCTCACGACTGCTGATTTCTCATAAAAGAGTTATCGCACGTGTTTAACTTTTATTTCGCATGAGTCTCCGAAACAAGTGCAACTCTTTTCGAGTCATAAAAATATCCTTACTTAAAAAGAAAACCTACACGTGTTGATTCATAAAAAGTTCTACTGCTTCATCAAGATAAACGAATTAGTGATTCCGACTACAGCTAAGAGGAGGTAATTAATAAATTTTTCCCTCAAAACGGTGCAGACAATTCCGCGGTAACGTTACTTTTAATGTCCTCCACGATCGTGCAAAGTTTGGACTCTCTTAGCGATTAGCGAACATCGTCGGAGCCAAAGCAGTTAAACATTGACGAGGAAGCAGGAGGGGCTAACCGCGCTATAAAGTCATCGGGCTCACGCGAACTCGCGCGATTAAGAACGGACGACAATTGGAACAGAGATCTCGAATCGCAGCAGCGCGGATCGCGAATGGATTAAGCGGAATGTAATTGACGAGTGTGCCACAACGATGAATCAGTGCCGGATCTCACGTGCTGCATGAGACGAGCGTAATGCATGTACACGGACGAACGAGACACACTCGTGACGCTGTCGTACACGCGTGCGAAACTGCGTCTTGAACGAAAAATTATGTCACCGATCGTGGATCGAACGCCGCATAATTCAGTTTTTTATATCGTGTTGATTTTTACTTCCTTAAATTAAGTCCACTTATTCATGATTTCCTGTACCTCTATACGATCAATGAATAAAGAACACGAAGTAGAAATTTATACGTATAAAGTGTAGTCAAAGTCAGAAAGAGGAGTAACCTGGGTCATGACGAGGCTAAAGGTAAAAACCGAATTCGCCCAAAAGCGCATATGCTTGTTCCCGGCAATCCTTTTTTCTGCATAAACAGTTTAGCGTCGATCCGCTTCCACGAAGAAGATATCTGACAACGGAAAATATGTCAACAGGAAACCGCAAGATCTGCGGAAATTACGGCGACTCCGAATACCGTGGAAAAATTGATTTGTCCTCGAAAATAGGCCGACTCCCAGAGACGGCGGGACGATAAATCCTCTGAAATATTCCGGATGCGTAGCTGCACCAAACGTGTTTATACACACAATGATGCCTAAATGAACGTTGTATTAGTCCCGTTTGGAAATTGCGGTTATCCATTTTCCTATCGATAGGCCGTGAATTCCGAATCTTGAATAGGCGATAAATTGATTCTTTTAAAATTAATTTGGTGGTATGAAGAACATACATATTTTCACCTCCAAAGTAAGATTATCTCTGATACAACAGAAATGTTATAAATTAAAAATTGATCGATGACCCAAGTTTTTTCGCGAGGCAAAAGACTTACATCCTGAAGAAAATGTCTGTTGCCCCATCCGTGGCATTTCGCTGTTATCGTTAATCGAATTTGGTCTCGGGTTGACAACTTTTCGCTCGAGTAAACGGCTAAATCGAATTACACGTAATAGCAAGCGGGCAAGAAGATGCGCTGTAAAATACAAGCTCGTCGATAATATGCGAGCATTAATTCACAATTAGCAGGGAAGCGCTGTTATGGCGTGGGTGGGCACGATGGACGGGCATTAATTGCCGGCGTGTAAATGAACCGATCGTCGATCGAATTTGAAAGCAGATTGCTCTACGAATCGTACGAAAAATAAACTGGACCTGGATCGTTTCGTAATTTCTGGTTTACGTAATGTCGATCGTGGAAGCTCGAAACGAAAGCTGGAGAAAGCGAGTTATCTAGCGTGTTTGCTGTTTAGAGACCCGCACGGTTTACAGTTTCAATTTGTACGTTTTGACTGGTGCATCGACAATGAACAAGTGGAAACGATTTAACTCCGATTATCTGCTCGCACCGTTATACGATCATCGGCGCGTTAACGGGTCGAAAAGCAAGAGAAATATCGCGATTATCCGTTTTGTAGAAACGGCTTGTGTCAATAAATAAGAACGAAATAACCAATCCGTATCAGAGTTGCGAGCATTTGAAATTAATACGCGCTCACGGAAGAGATCGAGGTCAAGTATAATAATACTGAAAGAGCCATTGTTCCCACGACAAAACAAGAATTTTCATCGGCGAACACCCTGTACAGAGTCGGAGTTTGATGCTCGACAAAAGACCCGTTACCTCTGTATATCGGAATTGCCACTTACCGCGGATTCGTTCGTTCCCTATGGCGCATGACGTCTTTGACCCAGTCCACGTAAAGCGTGTACACAACCCTTTGTGACGCGGCAACACGCCGATAATTAGACCCGGAGTAAAGTGTACGCGCTTGATAATTAGATTCGAAGTAAGCCCATTAGACGATGCGTTTGCAGCCGTAGGTACGTACGCTTGGAAATTGATTTCGAGGTAAAGACGCGCGATATCTCGTCACGAGATATCAACTCGACAACGACGACAAGCCTCGTAACGAACGGAGGTGCTTTCGAATTAAACGTATCCCTTTATCGATTATACCGCGAGTATCAACATCGTGTGCCAGATACTCTTTGCGAGAGGCTAAATTAAATTTGTAATTGACTGACATGACAAACATTTTTACCTTAATCCTGTTTTCAACGATGTTTTTTTTCCCCCAAGAATAATCTACTTTCTCGAGGCAAAATGTTGCTAATAAGGGATCTTTCGATCCGATTAGTGGAAAATCGTATTCAGATTTGCGAGAGGAGTCGATACGCGACACGTATCGGATATCGGACTGATCTTTTTTGAAGCTCACAATTTTTCAACTAGCACGCGAAGGATGTATGGGCTCGTACGGATTGAAAATCATCCTCGAATATGAAAAGCGAGTAATTTTGTTCGACAGGTAGATAGTTATTCCGTAGTCAGGTTGGAGTTCCTCGCTCAAACTGACTGATAAAAGGGCCAGTGAAGCGATGGATAAATGCTCGGGGCGAGAAAAATTCCTTGCGCCCCATTCTGCTTGAACTGCTCGTGCGAAAAGCCGATCGATCGAGCTTTCCTCGTAAATAACCGAATGAATGTCGAGACATCGATACCGGTAATCTTCCTCCGCAATAGAGTATTTTTCTAGCAACAAATCTTGACGCAAAATGTCTCGGTAGTCGTAATGCCAAGATTTCCTCTCTGAAACCTCGTCGGAAAATAAATAAACTTTTTTCAACTCGCAACATTCTTGATATACCGGACACGTGAGTCGTGACGAAATGCATGACACAAAATGGACCACCGAATAACACAGAAGCCGGCTAACGTACAAAAGCCGCGTGTTCGATTCGGTTGCAAAAAGGTTTCGCAGACGCGCGTAGGAAAATCTAATAAATCGTCGGATGAAATACTCAAAAACGAAGCAAGCCTGTTGAACTTGCCGCAGAATAAATGGTTTAAAGAAACCGCAAAAAAAATCGAGCCGATATAACAGTTCGACGAATCGAAATACGATTGTGGTTCGCAAATTTCACTCGATTAATGGACAAGAATTATTTCCAGCAGATCGGGGCTCCGCAGGACCTCTAGATTGCCAGCAACTATAATCCTGAAATTCAAAATAAACTTG